AAAAAGAACGTCAGACAAAAGCAGCACTTTGAAAACAAAAACTTGTTCTCCTGTGAGCTCTGACATAGCTGCCGGGAGAACCAGAAGCAGACACCCAACACTGCCCTCCATTTGAATTGTAATTTTAAATAAGAAATGCAACTTTCCTCTTGTTGCGACAGTAGTCTTTTTCTCTGGCCAAAGCATGACTTTGAAATTAGGGGGACGCTGGAAAAGCGTATGCAATGGAAGAAAGAAATGCTAGCTGGAATGCAACCTTACAGTTTTTCACTCCAGGTGTATGCTCTGATTTAGCTGATTGTTACAGAAGCATTTGCTAACTGGAACGATGTAAATTTGAGGGTGGTACATTTGAATGAATAGGCAAAGTTAAACCACCAAGGAGGACTGAGCGGCGTGGGAAAGTGGCAGGGGCTGGGGGTGGGGTGGCACTCGGACTGGAAAAGGTGGTTGTTGGGGTTACAGAAGCCAAACACAGTCCACCCATCAGGAAGGATTTGGAACTAAGCTGCCGGCCTCCAGGCAAGAGATGACAGTCGTTGATTCTGCATCGCCGCTCGCGTCAGTGCTGGCCACCTGCGCCCAGCCTCCCAGGTGGAGCAGCGCCTAGTTCTCCAAGTCCCGCGCTCAGACTGTGGAACACAATGGGCCCTCAGCTACTCCAGGTCTTTCCACTCTAACTCAAGCCTCAGAGGAGTTCCTTGCTCTCTAATTCTGCAACTTTACAGTGAAGCAGGGTTTTCCTGTACCTCCTTAGCCCCCACCCCACCCCCGCCTCTTTTAAACAGAGACCGAAAGAAGGACTGCACCGCACGAACACCGCCCTCCCCAGCGGCTGGGTAGAAAGGGCCTGGTTGGACCTGAGCAGTCTCTGCAACCGGCGCTGACCGCTGAGGTCAGGCAGTCCAAGGGACCCACACGGGCGAGGCGCACGACGGCAGTGGGGATCTGGGGCTGAGCCAGCGTGCTGTGTCCCTCGCTGTGTGTTGAGGGTAGGGATGGCGGTGGGAGGAGCAGGTTCCTCCTGTTGTATCGCGCGGACCTCTTCCCCTTCCAGGGCATCTGAGTGCCCAGGAAATCAAGCCGCCCTGCAGAACCTTTCTCATTAGAATACATGAAAATATGAGTTGGTTTTGGCAAGACGGTGCTCCTTCACGGCCAAAGGGACGGTTTTGTTACCCGCGGGCGAGGTGGGGTGGGGAGCATCTCCGGCTCCGGCATCCGGCTGCGGGCGAGGCTGGCCCGCACACCTAGAAGTGCAGAAACCCGGCCGCGGCGGCAGCTCCGGGAGCAGTTAGGGAAAAGCGACACGCCCCTGGTGGCCGTTTTCCTTTAAACAAAACAAACCTGAGCGCTGCAAGATGCGTTAAGCGTTGGTCATCCCCTCCTACACACAGATGCCCTTGCAGGGTGCGCCACGACAGGACTACATGTAGCCAGAGACAGCCAAAACCACTGTTTGTCCCAGGGCCCCTACCCTCTGGGGGTCGGACGCCTCATGCATTATGAATTAATTGCTTAATGACTTAATGATGGAAGGGAAGGAAAGGAGGAGGAAAGTCCGAGAGAAAAAAGGAAAAAGGAGGCAGGTAGCGCAGGAACAGGAGAGTGGACGCTGACTCTGCGCTGCCCACTGCGCGCCACTGGTCCCGGACCGCTGGCCTCGAAGGCGCGGACCACAGCGCTAGGTGCAGGTGGGATGCAGGCCGGCGGCCGGGGCCACCCCTCGCTCGACGCCCAGGCTCCTGCCCCTGCCCCAACACACTCCTTTGCCCATGGAGGGGCTCGGACCACCACACACCGAGTGTGGCAGTGCCTGACCACAGCCCCGACGGAGGGAGGGGAGGTAAGAGGGGAGCAGATCCCCAAGAGTCAGAGAAGGATGCCTGCCCCCATGCCCACCGCGCAACGGCCGAGACCCGGGTGCTGCCGGCGGCCACCCGCAGGGGGCCGAGACCTTTCCCGACGCCTTCCGCGGTCCGCACCCTCCGCCAGAGCGCGCGGGGTGAGCGTGGGGGCAGGTAGGGGCCCACGGGCAGCTCACGCCAGAACCGCTAAGCTCCTACGGCCATTCAGGCCAAGGGGCGCGACGCGGGCCCGCCTGCCCCGAGCAGGCCCCAAGGGCGCAGCAATCGCTGCTTCCGGGAAGGGCGGAGCTGCTTCCTCCACCGGCCTCAGCCCGAGTCCTCGCGCCCCGCGGTCCTCACCACCTCGGCTTTCTGCCCTGGAGGACCCCCGGGCCGCCGCAGCCTGACCCAGACCCGTCCCCACGCTGGACAGTGCTGCGCGGGACTCCCCCCAGGGACCGCCACGTGGCTCTTCTGGAGTCACCCCTGCCCCCGGTGCCCATCCAGCCTGCCAGGAGCCCTAAATCCGGTCTCATTCCAACCCACGTCGCCAACAGCAGCAATCTTAGCAAAATGCAATTCTGCAGCGATGTGATGAGGGTCTATCCGGGGGAGAGTGGGCAAAGAGGTAAGAAAGGAATGGGCTTGTGTGGCTGCACAGGTGACCTGGTTGCTCACCGGCCAGCGACGGATGCATTAGGCCAAGGACTGTGTAGGTGTAGGAGTGTAAGTCAAACGCTGAAACTTCAGCGGCTGAACTTGGCTGGAGATGTATATATGTCCATGACTTCATATAGAGATACTGGCAGAAAGATGAGGCCTAAAAACCAACACCGACGTTTGAGCAGTCGCTACCCTAGGAACATCCGGCTGTCACGCCAGACTTGTGCAGCAGGGCCGCGGGGGAGAGTCACCCGGAGCCAGGAACAAGGAAGCACTTTAGCCCGGAAAGTTCCCCGCAGCCGCGTCCTTTGCAAATGCGACTCGGGACCCGCTACTGATGGGAACTTTGAACAAAAGAATTAGTCGCTGACACACATTCCGAGATACATTTACACTAACTGATAGGACGGACTGGCAGTGACGGGAGCCGGCTCAAAGAGGGCGCCTGCGCCACTGAGTTCCAGGTGGATTTAATTTCACTCATTCCTTTCCTTACAATGTGACTTGTCCTTCCCCCTCCACAAACACACCCCTTCACACTTTTTTTAAAGGAATTGTAATCCAATGCTTTTATCTTTTTTATTTCCTTAACTGCACATCTTCACTCTCTGCTCCCCTGCTGATTTAAGAGATTTGTTTGGTTCCAGGATTTAACGTGATTCTCTTGCCAGATTTCAAGGAAAAAAAAGATTTAAAAGAACAAAGCGAGGGAGCGGCTGGGGTTGGGGGGGGGATCAGCAATCAGTTAGGAAGACAAGTCAAAACGCATTTGTTAAAAATAGGATTGATTGATGATTTAAAAAAAAAACTTTGCAAAGCAAGCAGAGGTCGTGGACTCTGGCTTTGCATGTTTAGTTCATTGCTCGTTAGGGGAACCCAGTGGACCTATACAGGCAGTATGGCACACACTTAGCCACACGCACGCTCAGATACAGCACTATCTCCAGACTGGTCGCCAACTCTGTGCCTATCATCCAGTCCCTTTCCCAGGACGCGCGGGCACTTCATTACTTAACAGGCTCTTGCATGGGGGAGGGAAAACCTTCCCACCGACGTCCTTTGCCTATTCGGAGCCAACCAAGATCCTGGCTCCAGGTCAAGGACCCGAGGGGAGCACACTGCGACCAGCCCGCCCCTGGCTCCGGGGCCTGGCACTCGGCGAGCCAGGCAGACGCACACCCGGGTTCGTGGCTCGCGGTTCTTCCAGCTCAGACGCGCGTTTAGGGAGACGTCCCCTCCCCCTGACCTTTCCCTATCAGAAACCAGACGGTCTCCTCCCGCTCGGTCGGCCAAGCTACCGAAGGGGGGCGGGAGGAGGAGCCCTGCGGAGGGAGGCCGTCCCGCCTCGGATCCGCCTGCCCTATCACACAGACATCTGCTCTCAGCTTCTTCCTCTTCGTGATCGCTACAGATGACAAGGGGAGCGGAGCTGCCCGGGCGGAAAAAAAAAAAAAAGTTATGTCATAAAGATATGAAACGGTGCAGTGACTCACCTGCTCGTACCGCCGCAGGTACGAGTTCCGTGGCAGCGCCTTCGCCTTGCCAGCCGGGAGCCCGCGTCGGCCCCAACGTCACTCGCTTTGGCTGACTCAGACGACCGGGTTTTTAGTGACGAGGCCAAAACGGTGCCTTTTCTCCCCTTTTCCCAGTACAGGAGGGAGAAGAAAACTAAAGCCTTCATCCTCTAATCCCCGGGGACTGAACTTTGAGGTCAGGGATCAGGAAAGTCGGGGAGGCAGGGACAGGGCTGCAGACGGCGTGGGGCGCAGCGCGGGGGCTCAGTCCTCGTCCAGCAGGGTCTCCCGCGCGCCGGGGGTGGGGCCCTGGAGTGTCTGAGCCCGCACGGTCCCTAAGCTCCGGCCCTTCTCCAGCTACGCGGTTCCCATCCAAAGTCCTGGCCTGCCCGCCCGGCCCCGCCTATTTTTTTTCTTTTCTGTTTTTTTTTTTTTCCAAAGGGGGGCTTACACCCCACCACCACCACCACCACCACCACCATGACGCAGTTCCCCCCTTTTTTCCCTGGCCTCCTCCGGGTAAACCAATTACACTGCTTTGCAAACAAAAAGTGAGGGCCGCGTTTGGGGGGCGGGGAGGGAGGGCTGGCGAGGGGGCGCGGCGGGAGGGGCGCGCGCGACGGCGGTGGCGGTGGCGGCGGGCGGCGCGGGGCGGCGGGGCGGGAGGCGCGCGTCGGGCCGGACTGGCGGGCGGCCGCCTCGCAGGTGCACCTCGGGCTTTGTAGGTGCGAGCGTCTTTGTGCGGCGGACAAATGGGGAGAGGACGAGGAGGTGGGCACTCGAGCGACGTAAGATCCACATCAGCTCAACTGCACTCGCCTTGCAGAGGCCGCCCGCTCAGTTCCCGCCGAGGCGCTCCCCGGCGCCGCGCTCCGCGGCAGCCGCCTGCCCCCGGTGCCGCCCCCGCCCGCCGCGCCGCCGCCACCGCCACCACCGCGCACGCCGCGCCCCGCAGCGCCGGGCTCCCTCCTCCCAGGGGTGGCGTTGGGTCGGCGCCGGCGCTCGGCTGACTGCAGCTCCTCGGCTCCCCTCCCCCGCGCGCCGCGCGGCCGCCCGTCGCCTCGCACAGGGCTTGGATGGTTGCAACGGGTAGGGTGGCTCCAGGATGTTAGGGACTGTGAAGATGGAAGGGCATGAGAGCAGCGACTGGAACAGCTACTACGCGGACACTCAGGAGGTGAGCGGCGCTGCGCCCGGAGCCCAGGTCCGGGGAGGCCTGGGGAGGGAGAGTCCAAGTGGGCGCTGGGCAGGGGCAGCGGCGGGGGGCTTGGCGGGCAGGTGGGGGGCGTGGAGGGAGGGCGTCGCTGCCCAGCCCCGGGCTGCGTTTTTCGGTGGCCGGGTCGGGAACAGCACGCCGCGGGCCCTCTTGTGGGTCCGGAGAGTTTGAGGAAACTCGGGGCTGGAACGCACCGCTCTGGGAAGTACTTGGCGCTTGCTGGGGGGAGAGCGGGAGCCGGGTCGGGGAGGCCAGGGCGGGCGGGCGGAGGCAACTTAGAACTCCAGGGCAGTCCCGCCGTGTAACACGCACTCCTGCTGTGGGGAGAATGCTCGGTCTCTAACTTGGGGGTTTGAACAGTGAAAGGATCCCTGCGTTTTATAAAACTTGTTCTTCAAAAGCCGGGCTTGGGGAAGAAGCGTGTTCATTCGTCTCTGGAACCGCTGGGTGGCGCTGGTGCGAGCCGAATCCTTTTTTCCAGAACTCGGCCAAGAACCTGTTTCCCTTCATTGTCCCCTTGGTGGCACGTTCATGGGGTTTATTTTTACAATGCTCACAGAAGAACTGCGAAGCAACCAGGTACAAGCAGGACTCCCACCTATTAAAAGTATTTTTGTGGGGGGAAGCTGGCGATTACCTCTCTCTTCCCCCGCCAAAATAAGTTTAATTAGCATCGTTGAAAAGAGAGAGTGCCTTGAATAATCCTGAGAAGAGGAAGAGAAAATAAAGCTCCAAGTAGAAAATACTTAAAAGACGTAGGCACGGGGGAAAAGGCACAAAATCGGAAACATATTCTCAAGGCAGGTGGTTTGTAGATTTATCTTGGACCTAGCTCTGAGTGTAGTTGCATGGGTAACTTACAGGGCACTTGCTGCTCACCGCTTGCTTCTGTTTTCAAACGAAGTCGTGGTTGCTGATGAACATCCGAGGAAGGCATCGTCTCCTTATTATATTATCAGAGGAATCGTTCGTAATGTCTTTGGGAGCGTGTGTTTTTAAAAGTACCATGTGCATGCCCGAATTGCTTCCTCTGAGTTTCCCCGCCGCCCCGGCTGAGGCGCTCCCCAACTCTGCCAGGTGTTTCACGTGGGTGCAGCCACCGCTGCCCACCAGTCCACTACGGCTTCTCATGAAAGAACTTGCTTTTCTTTCAAACCTGAGCACCAGAAAGGAGTGGAGTCGCAGGTGGAGAAAACAGAGTTTGGTATGGGGGACTTGAAAAATATTGGGAACTACTCGGGTAGTTTCAAAGGCCCGGCTTTAAAATGATCAGCGGGGGATATGTCCCTAAGCAGGGACAGGGGGAAAGGATGGTTATTTCAATACATTTTCCAAGGCGGAGGGACTGGGCGTCCTTATCAGCCCCAAGCTGGTTTTTGCACGGCCGCAGGGGTGCACCTGTAGTGCCCACCGAAACGCAGGCGGCGGACTCCTGTTCCTTAGACTCGCTTTTCAACCCCTCGTTCTGTGGGTCTGTTTTGAGTTTTAGCCTCCAAAACTTACTTCCGTCTTAGCAGTCCCTTAATATTATGGTTGCTACAAGGTGCAGCACTCCTAAACAGAATAATCAACCGCGAGTCGTTATTTAACCCCCCCCCCCAACCCAAACTCTCTAAAACCGCCGAGGCCATCAAGTTGTTGGGGAAATAAGCGGTCCCGGACTCAGGTGGGTGCGTATCTGCTGTGCCAGGGAGCTCCCGTCACAGCCACCTGGCACCTCACAGCCGCGGCCTGGCAGGCTGGCAGGCGCGGGGCCCACCCGGCCGACCCAGGGCGCCCTCAGGACAAAGTGAACGTCCACTTTCAAGAACATTTACGTGTCTCCCGCAAACACCCTTCCCTACCCCCAAAAAAGAAGACGCTTTGCCGAGTTGGCCTGCGGTGCAGCGAAGGGCGGGAAGCCAGCGCCGAGCTTGGCTTGCACGGCGATTACACAGCTTCCCGGGGACACATTTTCTATGCGCCCTGGGTCTTTTATGCCTGCCGAGCTAGGATTTTCCCCCTGCGGTGCAACACGTCTTTCCTCGGCCTGGGAAGCACTCCCAGCCCACTGCTGACAGTGCCTGTGTGTGCGCGCACCGGGGGATCGGGGTCCGTGCTGGGCAAGTCGCGCGCGCTCATCGCCCACTCCACCCCTCGCGCCCGCCCGCCCCGGGTTCGCCCCCCACTCCCTCCCCCACCCGTAGCCGGCTCTGCGCCCTCCTCTAACGCCGCCCTTCGGGGCCTCTTGGCTCGCTGTCTCTGCTCCAGGCCTACTCCTCCGTCCCGGTCAGCAACATGAACTCGGGCCTGGGCGCCATGAACTCCATGAACACCTACATGACCATGAACACCATGACCACCAGCGGCAACATGACGCCGGCTTCCTTCAACATGTCCTACGCCAACCCGGGCTTGGGGGCCGCCGGCCTGAGTCCCGGCGCCGTGGCCGGCATGCCTGCGGGCTCGGCGGGCGCCATGAACAGCATGACCGCGGCGGGCGTGACGGCCATGGGGACGGCGTTGAGCCCAGGCGGCATGGGCGCCATGGGCGCGCAGCCCGCCGCCTCCATGAACGGCCTGGGCCCCTACGCGGCCGCCATGAACCCGTGCATGAGCCCCATGGCGTACGCACCGTCCAACCTGGGCCGCAGCCGCGCGGGGGGCGGCGGGGACGCCAAGACGTTCAAGCGCAGCTACCCGCACGCCAAGCCGCCCTACTCGTACATCTCGCTCATCACCATGGCCATCCAGCAGGCGCCCAGCAAGATGCTCACGCTGAGCGAGATCTACCAGTGGATCATGGACCTCTTTCCCTACTACAGGCAGAACCAGCAGCGCTGGCAGAACTCCATCCGCCACTCGCTCTCCTTCAACGACTGCTTCGTCAAGGTGGCGCGCTCCCCGGACAAGCCGGGCAAGGGCTCCTACTGGACGCTGCACCCCGACTCCGGCAACATGTTTGAGAACGGCTGCTACTTGCGCCGCCAGAAGCGCTTCAAGTGCGAGAAGCAGCCCGGGGCCGGCGGCGGCGGCTCCAAGGGCGGCCCTGAGAGCCGCAAGGACCCCTCGAGTGCCGCTCACCCTGGCGCCGACTCGCCCCTGCATCGGGGTGTGCACGGGAAGGCCGGCCAGCTAGAGGGCGCGCCCGCCCCCGGGCCCGCCGCCAGCCCCCAGACTCTGGACCACAGCGGGGCGGCGGCGGCGACAGGGGGCGCCTCGGAGTTGAAGACTCCAGCCTCCTCGTCCGCGCCCCCGATCAGCTCGGGGCCCGGGACGCTGGCCTCGGTGCCCCCCTCCCACCCGGCGCACGGCCTGGCCCCCCACGAGTCCCAGCTGCACCTGAAAGGGGATCCCCATTACTCCTTCAACCACCCTTTCTCCATCAATAACCTCATGTCGTCCTCGGAGCAGCAACACAAGCTGGACTTCAAGGCCTACGAGCAGGCCCTGCAGTACTCACCCTACGGCGCCGCGCTGCCGGCCAGCCTGCCGCTGGGCAGCGCCTCGGTGGCCGCCAGGAGCCCCATCGAGCCCTCAGCCCTGGAGCCAGCCTATTACCAAGGTGTGTATTCCAGACCCGTCCTAAACACTTCCTAGCTCTCGGGACTCGGGGTTTGTCTGGTGAGACCAAGCTGGTAGCAGGAGAGAAAGGAAAGAAAGAAAAGAAAGAAAGAAACAGCAAACAGAACCACACACACCAAACTGCAAACAGCTTAATAAAATCCCAACAACTACTTTTATGTTGTTTCTCGTGCACAGTCGTTCCCCCAGTGCAAAGGACTGTTACTTTATTATTGTATTCAAAGCTCGTTGTGTAGATTATGACAAAACCAACCAACCCCCAAAGCAACATTTTCTCCCCTGCGATGCTGAATGATCCACGAGTGTGTATATATATAAGTATATATCATTCTCCTCGTTCTTGGACTCCTTCCCTCCCCCCCCCCACCTTCCCCTCCAGACAGATTTTAGTCTGGGCAGGGTTTATTTAAAGGAAAAAAAATAAGAAAAAATGGTCACGTTTGTAAAATATTTGTGTTATCCCCCGTTCCTCCCTGACTTCCTTCCTTACACACACGAGTTTACAGGTCTGTGGCAATACTCTTAAACCCTAAGAACTGAAGCAAAGCAAAGAAAGTAAGTAGACGCCAGGGACTGTTGAAAGAATGGACAGACAACAGTGCTGCTACACAGCAAGAGAGAAACACATTGCAAACACCAGAGCCATTTTTTTTTTCAGCTTAACATTTCTGGTCCCTCCGGATAGCAGGTGTCTTTAAATGAAATACACATATCTACGTTCAGACGGAATTCTGCACATGCTCACGTTTGTACACAGCCTCCGTGTATTAACATGTAGAGGGACTAGTCGGTGGTATACCTGCTACTTTGTCAAGAGTTGCCTGACCAAGAAGTTACAGGATCCCTAACCCTTCTTGCCCTTCCTCCTGGGGAACTCTGCACCTTGCAGAGGGCCATGGTCATGTCATTCTGAGGTCATATAATTGTAAAATTAGCTTCAGTGTATACCGTTGAAAGAACTTTTTTTTTTCAGACAGAAAGGCCATATTATCATATTTGAGGAGAGAGAAGTAGTGAGGAGCCGTGTTTCAAAATTTGATCCAAGATTCTGAAATCGATTGTGGCCATTTTAATTATTGCCATTGTTTCACCCGGTGTTAACGCACTTTCCACAGTTGGACGTGGTGTTAGCATAGCCAGACGGGTTGCATTATTCTTTTCTTGCTTTCTCAATGTTAATTTATTGCATGGTTTATTTCCTTTTTCTTTACAGCCCAAATTGCTATAATGGATGGTTTAAATTACAAATTAAGATGTTAATTTTATCAGTGTGATTGTAATTAAAATATTTTGATTTAAATAACAAAAATAATGACAGATTTAAAGCCGTGGAATATGTTCTTGATCATTTGCAGTTAAGAACTTTAAATAAATCAAATGTTAACAAAAACAAAAGGATTTCTGCAGTTTTCCTTAATTGAATCAAAAGTGGAGATTATGAACATAGTTTTTAGAATTCTGGAATGTAATATAAAATGAGAAAGAAAACAATCCAAAACAACATGGGCCTTTTTTTTTCTGATTTAAATGAACTAGTGAAAAGTAGTGAAAGTAAATCAACTAAATGAGTAGAAAAATATTTTAATTTTCCAGGAATTGAGAGTTTGAAAATCTTTGTTCTCAGTAATAGCTTCCTCTCTCTATTAATGATCTTATAAATATTATTCATTTATTTCCCACTCCTCCAATCCATGAACCATCCAAGTAAGAATAAAATAACAGCTGCTGGCTGCTAAAATTAAGTTGTCTACACTACACTCTTGAAGCCTCTTCTTCGAAGAGAAACACAGGGTAGCCATCCCTGCAGCTCTGGTGGGGACGGGAGGGGGAGAGACTTAATACTCTCCAGCTGAGGGGGAAGCTTTGCACCATTAAGATGGTTCTGGGGAGCTGCTAGTTTGTGCTTTGTAGAGATTTTTTTTTTTTTTAATTTGTTTCTAAAAACATTGTCCCTAGGAACTTAAAGCTTGTTTGCCTTCTGGGAAGCTTTGAAATGCTGCTTCACACCCCCAGAGTTGCGCGGGATCACAAAATCATTAATCTCCTTTGATAGCAGGCTCACTTTCCAGTCCACCTGTTTCTTTGTGAATCTTGTCCGGATTGACAACGACTGTAACAACATCAGCCCGCGCCGAGGCTGCCCTGCCTCGCGCCTTCCAGCACCAACTCCATCCTCACCAGGGCTTGAACTTGGACCACCTTTGCTTTGACCGCTCTCCTCCAGCCCGCAAACGAGATTTAACAACAACAACAAGCCCTGTGAGTCCCTTAATTATCACTTAATTGCCAGCGCAGATGAGAGAAGGGGTTTCATGCAGCACTTGAGAAAAATTCAGAAATCCCCAGCCCCCACTCATCTCTGCTAATCAAAGAGCGAAGGAACGGAACTTACTGGCCTGCATCACTTCAAAACTTAAATTGGAACCCCAAGAAAGGCGTTTAAAATCCCTGAGAGAAGAGCTTTCCTTGTCCACGGTTATTCATGCGTAGGGAGCGAGTACACAAACCTTGGTAAATTCGAACTCGAACTTACGCAAATGCGTACGGCAATGAATCAAATGCGTCTTTTTACGCAGTCCCCTCGGTGATATCCCCTTCCTTCTGTCCCATGCGTGGTCAATATTCTAATCCCCCACCCCACCCCGCGGGAACAAGAGGGTCTGAGTTCTTTCTCTGACACTTGGTGGAGTTCTGGGTTTGCCAGAAGCCTGGCGCTTCGTCCCAGGCTGACCGCCGCCACTCGGTTGACCCGCCTGGGAAAGCAGAAACGCGCGTCGCGGGGAGCGGGTGTTGCCTGGGCGCAAAAGGAGGGGAGCTCGTGCCTCGTGGGCCTCTCGCGCGAGTCTCAGAATGCCCTCATTCCGCCAGCCCTAGGCCAGGAGATCTGGGACCCGCGCGTCACCACGCTCGCGGGTCGGGGGGCCAGGGAGGCTGGTTGCCGGGGAAATGGGGGCCAAGCAGGACCGCAAGCATCTCGAGGTGACAAGTGCAGTTAGTTCTTCATTGTTTGACCATTTTCCCCCTCCTAGCGAATAAATCTTCTGTTGAGCCCGGGACCTAAAAGTCAACAAAGAAGGCCAGGCGTCTCGTTACCGCTCCAGCGGCCCCAGCGGCCCGCGCAGCGGCAGCCGCTCCCGCTGCGTAATCCCTTCCTCGGAAACCCCGACACACAAACCCCGGAACGCCCGGGGCCGGGGCGCTGGCGCCCCCGGGCCAGGAGGAAAACAGCTGTATTTTGGAGGGTGTGCGGGCACCCTCCCGGAACGCGCTGCCTGCCGCGAACTCCCCCCACCCCGCTTTCTGCCCGGGAGCCTTGGTGTTTTCCTAATTTTCCACTTTGAACGCTCCTGGAAAAGAGTTGGAAGGTGGATGCTGACCGCTCAGCCTGACCCTCATCCCCCACCCCCGCCCCATCAACACCACGGACTTGCTTTATTGAGGAATTTGGTCCGGGGTGGGGGAGGGGTCGGCGGAGTGGGAAGGCGGGAGGGAGTGAGCGAGGAGGGGGGAAACCTCGCTCCTGGCCCGAGTGTAGGCTCCTGAGCCCCCTGTGAGCCACTGAGGACGCTACCGAGCACACCCCTTTACTAATAAACACTTGCAGGGGTTGGGGGGTGAGTAGCAGAGAAACCGAGCTTCGTTTGTTCCTTTCATTTTGCATCCAGGGGAGCGCAGATCTGAAGCGCCGTTAATGTGCGCTAGGGAAAGACAACCACAGACAGAAGGGGAGGAGGAAAAGATTGAAGTCAGAGAGACGCAGCAACCCCGCGACGGTGCGAGGCGGCTGCTGCGTTCCTCCAATATTTTTAAATCAATGATAAAATGTTAATTTCCATTGTGCTTTCTGCGCGCACAGAAGTGAAAATTAGCATGGGAGAAGAGGTCAAAACAAGCCAGACTGCGAGAGTTCTTCCGTTTTCAGTTTCTGAAGGTCGCATACCTGACTGGTTCCTCTGAAAGCATAAAAAGCATGATTTTCCTCAAAAACCTAACAACTGTGAATGAACCCCAACAAAAAAGAGCCCCCCGAGGGGCTACAACTTTGGGGTTGGAGCATTTTAAAAATGGGTTTCCATTCTCGAAAATTATTATTAAATTTCTTTGCAGAGAACTGTCACGATCAATACAAATTCCTTTCCATGCGGACCAAAGTAGGTAACCCGTCCCCCAAATTCATTAACCTTTCCTCAAGATCAATTGGTTTTCTATTGGTTTAGCTGTAATATTGTAAAACATTTAGCTATAATGTATTTTAATGCGATGCCTCAGTATCTGAGGAGGAAAAATCGCTTTGAAACATGAAATTGCTTAAATTATTTAATTGATATGTAATACATTATTAAAATATTTTCCCTCAAAAATCAACATTGTTTATTTGCATTGCTGCAAAGTTTGTTTTCTAAGTGAATGAAATGAAGGTTATGCCTAATGACTTCATAGAACTACATGCACCAGGGTGATTATTTTAAAGCTACCTTGAGCAAAACAGGTAATTAAATCATGACAAAATTTGGAAATAAAATCTACCCAAATCGGGGATATCATTGACATCAATAGTTACTCATAAGAACGTAAGAAAATGAAGTAACACAAAAAAGATGTCACAGCTTTCCTGTTTAAACAGAAAATCCATTTAGGGAGACAGGAAAAACTAAACAACCAATTATGCTAGTTTTCTACCCGGATGCTATTCAGGGTAGCCACACAGCACTGAGCAACCAATTACTTTTAAGCTTATGTTTTATTCTGCCAGGTGGACTTGGTGTTGTTTCTGGCTTTGTTTGTTTGTTTGTTTTTTGCTCCCAGTGCTGATCTACTGGTGAAACTGCACAGATCCGACCGCAGCCCTCACCTCACTTTCCACCCCAGCTCCCATTCTGGCAAAGACAGATGGACTGGAGAATACCAAATGAAGTTCAGTTTCAACTTGCAAAAAGCATGCCTTTTCCCATTATAAGCACTGAAAAAAAAAAAACTGGACAGGGGGTGCCCTCCATTTGCTTCCTTTCTGTCTAACTTTATCATTTATTGCAACTCCGACTATTGCGGTGACTTTAGGAGCAAAATGCTTCCTACAGTCAGCGACCCCTCCCCCTGGCAGCCCAGGGGGTGTGTGGAGGCTCCGCTTTCCCTCTGGTTGCTACCCTGTGAGATTTCAGGGTCCTCTGTGTCCAAATCACCCTGGAATAGGGAGGCAGGATAACCCCATTCAATATCTGGAAAGGGTTTACATAAAACCGTGTTTGCACAACTAAAGGCAGGATGCTGGGCTAGTCATTGGTGAAAAGCCAAGTTCAGAACCGGGCCAGGGACACCCCTGGCGGGCCAGACTCACAGTCGAAAGCCTGAGCTTCCCTTGCCTTCACTTTTT